CTGGTTTGTATTTCCAACACACACACACACACACACACACACACACACACACACACACACACAAGCTACTGCAGTGTTCCGGAGGAAACGTGCTCGGCACTATTTGGGGAAGGACGGGTGACTGTGGTGCTGGAGGATCGGGTGGGGCGGAGTCTGAGCGTTACTTTAGCAGGGTTTCCTTTGGTGTTCCGATGCGGAGGGCACCACCTGCCGGCGGCCCGGCGGCCTGCAGCAGGGTCCCCGGACCGCGGTTCGCCGCCGCCTCCGCTCCGGGAGCGGTGGCCCAAGCCCCCCAGCCCGCCCAGGTCCCGCCACCGAACGCCCAAGCACTCCTTCAGGGTTTCAGACTGTCCCCTCCCTCGTTCCAGGCTCTGGCACACCTTGTGGCAGGAGCAACAGGCTGAGACAACAGTCCATGCTTGTTAATAGGAAAGTGCTCAAGACAGTTTCTGGGGAGGCTTGTAGTGTTCCCTTGTGAGGGTTGATGAATTTGTCTTCCAGCATCTCGCAAATTTAAGTGGAAACCGAATGGGTCGAGTCACTGCTTTGCTTTATGCTAGAAACTTAAGCAGGCCGGAAAAGCCTGATGATTAAAGGGACCGTGGAAATTGGGGGGGGGGGGGAGAGGGCGGTAGTAACATAGCGCCCTCCTTTCAAAAGGTTAGCATTCTTCTATTTCCACATTTTCTTCTCCCTTTCTGAAGCTGTTGCACAGTAGACTGAAATCATAGCTGTCGTCTTCTCTATTGGCTGTTTCCAACCACTGCGGGGTAGCAGTTTTCTAGTTGTTAGAGTTTCTAACTGTTGCTTCTCGTAAGGTAGGGGGAAAAAAAGCCTGTTGCTTTTCTAGAACCAACCATCCAGGGAATAGCTAGATCTACGTGAGCAAAATGCCATTTTTATTTCATTTGCGAAAAAATATTGTGGCAGCAGAAATTTTAGACAGCCTGAATAATTTAAAGACTAAAACCCTCTGGGATTTTGTCACTCTATAGCTGCAAAGGCTATTGAATTGTCATTTCATTACGAGTGTGCCGTGTTATCTTAACATGCTAAGATTTAAGAATTCTTTCTTTTTTTAGCTTGTGTCAAGGAAAAATAAATATGTTTATAATCTATTGAAAAGGATTAGAAGAAGAAGTCTATTAAATTTCTGTATTTTATAGTTGTAACTTCTCCTGCTTTAAATAGCTTATTTAAAATAAGGTGTCTCTGGTGGTTGTATTGGAAAAAGAAAAACAATTTTTAAAAATGAATGCATGGTGAATATTTTCTGACTCAAGGAAGGTTTTTTAACAGACTGGCTTATTAATCATATTCTGTTCGCATACATCTCAGTACCACAAAGCAACCCAAAACACACTATTTACAAACACTGGAGAACGTAGTAGTAACGTGCACATATACAAATCATACCTAATCTATGCCACTGCAACTGGATAAATTAGATAATGAATTACAAAGTAGTCTATATCATGTAGATAAATGATGATAATATTTTCCTTTCCAAGTCATTTATTTTGGCATCTTGTAAGTACCAACATAGATAATTTATAAAATGGGAGAAGATTCAGACAGCTTAAAAGGTAAACAGTGCCTTTGCTGGTGGTCTATTTTCTGTATAGGGTACTATGCTTTACAGAATTTTTAAAAATGTATAATTCTGTTGACTATATTTACAAACAACTTTGGAGCTACAAAAAGAAACTGAATTGAATAGGGAAGTTGCTATTAACCAAAACAACCATTTCCACAAAAAAAGCTCTGTGTAACTAGTTGTTCAACTGAATTCATACGTAGCCCAGACAAAGAGGATTGAGTTTAATTGCAGTACCCCTGGAAAAAGCTCCTAATGATGGAATAATACAGCCTACTTACTTATTGTACTATGTATATATGTACTTGAGTTTTTAAAAATACTCCCCCAACAGATAAGCCTTTGAAAAATATATTGTACTAAAATACCAATTACCTTTGCACTGGGGTGTTAGAAACATAGTGGGAAAATAGAAAACACTGAACATTGAAAAATAGTAAACCTTGATTTACTTACTGTTCCTTGTTTCTGCTTTTAAATGAGAGCTACCAACAAGATCCAAGGTCTATTTTACCTTCTCTCATATATGACAAAGCATTGAGATAAATAGGTTGGAAAAAACACCAAGAAAAATGGCAACAAAGAGGACTTTTAAGATCAAGGGTTATCACCACAACCTTGATAGTTAGTTCTGGTTAAGAGCATTGTCTACAATATGCTTTGAATTTTAGATAATATAAGTAGGGCTGAAATGTCAGTGGGAAATAAGGCTCAATGATTTTTATACTAAACATGTTTTGGTACCCTAATAGGCAGTAACTTTTGAGGTCATTTAAAAGGAATTTTTTTTACCAAAATTGACAAAAATTAAGAATGGACAAAGAATATAATAAAAAATAGCTCTAAAGAAACTTCAGACTAAAGTCCATTCCTAAAACACTGTTCATTTTTATATTTTTATTCATTAGCATTATTACCCACCCATTCCATAGCTGGGAAAATGACATGATAATTGTACATTACATTAATGGGTTGGAAAATGAGGCTTTGTTAGGTTTTGTTCTTTTCTTATACTACCGTATGTGAAATATAATTCTATGTTGGTTTATAGCATTATCTGTTTTCAAGACTAACATAACATTGACTATTTTCTGATTCATGTTCTTCAGAACATAGAATGCTACTCCCAAATTAAGAAAATAAAAGCTAGCTTTTATGGTCAAGAACCTATACAATCGAAAATTATTGACTCTGAGCGGTGAATTCTGAGCAGCATTCCTCTGAGGAGTAATTCCAATGCAGAAAAAAAGAAAACTATACTGAGGAGCAAGACTTTTCAGGAATTAATATTATTGATTAAATTAGGAAGAATTTTTCTTATGGCAACATGGGATATACTAGGCATGCGATAGTGATTATACACTGTTATTTTTTGAACAGTTATATTTTAAAAACTACTGTGATTTCCATTTGTTGTTTTATTAAACACTTCAAACCTCCCCTTAGTTTCTGCCAAGCCGTAAAACTACTCTCTCTGTCTCTCTCTGTCTCTGTCTCTTTCTCTCTCTCTGTAGACTAAAGATAAACAGAAGGCAGTTGGGGCAAAAAGGAGACAATAGACCCCACAAATTGCCTTTAAGTAACACTAATATCTCTCAATATAAATTCAGTGAAACACAAATGATAATAAGCAGATCTTCTCTTTGAGCAGAAGACTGGGGAAGCATGATATTAACTACCTGCAAACAAGAGTTGAATTCTTGCATTTCAGATTCCAATAACTAGTTGTTCCTTCTTATTAAGAAGGTGGCTTCTGATGATCAGGTAGGAGTTCCAGGCATAAAACTCTCTTTCCCTGACCTAGAGAACAATGTTCCAAGTGGGCACTCCCAGAAGACTTCACATCTATTGAGTCCTGACCCAAGTAGCCATTCCTAGTAATAGATAGCACCATGCATTCATGGTTTCTTTTCTTCCTTCATGCATGGGTGGATGCAATAGTGAATGCTCTTCCAGGCATTGGAAATAACAATGAAAGGAGAAAAAAAAAAAAAAAAAAAAAAAAAAAAAAAAAAAAAAAAAAAAAAAAAAAAAAAAAACAACCTTACAAAAGCCTCAAATGAGCCAGTTACATAAATAATACCTAAAAGATAAACAAATATAATTTACCAAGTATCCACTGTTGTTAAATTGCCCTGTTGTTGCTGTTGTGATTTTAATATTTGATTGCAGAGGTTTCTGGTGCATACTTTAGTTATGTCCAATTATCATCATCTTGGTGACACAAAACAGTCACTACTTTCAGTATCCCCCTGCCCATTTCTTTAAGTCAGTG